GAGTTGGTTGTATCAGTCTTTACTTTGGTTGTTGAGTCGTGTAAAGTATTTCAGGACTTGTACAATGTTGATTTTATGAAAGTCCTGGAGGAAAGTAAATTCGTTTGTCTCTTCTACTCTTCTCTCATTCCTGTGTTTGTTGAGTCATGTAAACAAGTTCAGGAATTGTACAATGTTTGTCTCTTCTACTCTTCTCTCATTCCTGTGTTTGTTCATTCAGGGCTAGAGGCACTGAGAACTACAATCACTTACTTTGAAGCACAGAGATACATGTGCCTGTATAAATGCAATCTTGGGGTGGTTTTATAACATTAACATGATGATTATTTGAACATTCATTATGGTTTTTATTATGAATTGTGATGATTATTATTGTTATTATTCTTTCTTTCATTCTTTCAGTCAGTTATTCTTTCGTTCTTTCAGTTATTCATTTTTTCGATCAATTGTGAATTTGCTGATTTTTTGTTCCTTCATTATGTCCGTTCTTCGATTGCCTTTTCTTGGACAGTTCAGTCTATTCAAGCCTGCTCTGTTACTCGAGAAGCTATGGATGGGTGGTTGGCGGGTGTTCTGGTGTGGTTTGTGTCTTCTTTTCTGTCAAGTGTCGTCTATTGTCCTTTTGTCCCCTATTTTCTTTGTCTGTTCGTTCCTCTCTAGTGACACCTCCAGCCTCCAGCTCTTATCTGACCAGTTTATGTCGCTAGTGCCGTGAAACTCTCTCTGCTGGAACAGCTGCAAGGCTGGTAGAACAAGCTCAACAATGGCGACAGACGATGAAACAGGGACAGTGATGAGAAATAAAGCACATTGTACAGTGATGATGATGATAGTGATGATGATGATAGTGATGATGATAGTGATGATGATAGTGATGATGATGATAGTGATGATGATGATGATGTTAATGATTGTATGCATTGCATATCCCTTTCGTTGGGTAATTTTAGTAGGCCTAAGAACAGTTGGAATGCCTGACAGTCCATCTTGCACAATGGTATCGCTTGTCTTGGGTCCTTTCTTCATAGTGGATCTAGGTCAGATTCAGAGGTGACAGTGTCTTTGGAAAGCTCACAATGTTGCCCATGGCGAAGGGACAGATCACGTACTAATAAAGTTGTTCACTCATAAAGCAGAAAAGTAAAATCCAACATCGGAAGGTCTATGCCCAGAGAAAACAGCCTTCCTGTCCTCCGGCCTTTTCCCCTAACTTCAAAGTCAATACATGTATTATAATTACAATGCAGGGAGCAGCGAATCAGAAAGCATCAAAATGAATATGTCATGCTCCATTACACATCAAAAGATCTAGTCTACATTGACATATCCTTGCATCGGCACAGAAAACAGCCTTTGTGTCTGCGTACACCAATCACAGGTCAACATGTAAGCCTGTGAGATTCCAATATTGTTCTTCCTGGTAACCACCACAACGCCGCGTTTTGCCGACGCCTAAAGGCTTTTAACGTGATGCTGTAGAAGACAGGTCTGTGCGACCATCGATTGTGCTGTAGAAGACAGGTCTGTGCGACCGTCGATTGTGCTGTAGAAGACAGGTCTGTACGACCATCGACTGTGCTGGAGACCACGATTGTGTGTCTGGAAAATCTGTATTATATTACTCATGATTACTGGATACGGAACAACTTCATTTAAAGGTCACTCAAAACTTTAGTGTCAAGCGAAACGCGCATATTTGTTTCATTCTTTGCTCGAACGTTTACCGTCTGATGGGGCGAACGTTTACCGTCTGATGGGGCCAACGTTTACCGTCTGATGGGGCCAACGTTTACCGTCTGATGGGGCCAACGTTTGGTCTTCAAGGTGCTACTCCAGAGTCTTTGAAGTCAGTACATTATGTAGATCTATGTTATGTAGGCCCATCTGTCTTCATCACACGCCGTTCAAGGATTGTTCCGAACAAGGACCGCGCAGAAGTGTGAGGCCAGGTCGTGGAAGAGGTGACCCACACGTGGTAAACGTTGTTGCCTCAGGTATAGATCTACGCCTGGAGGGATCTCCCTCGAGGAAGACAGAATGCAGAGGTAGTACATTGTACTTGGAAAACGTCGCACTCTGAACCCAGAGGCCTTGTGGTGTAGATCTCAGACGTGACATTCTGACACCTCCAGGGACAAAATGCCATTCTCCGTAAAGACTGCCGTCTACTCTACGATCATCTGTGAAATTTTAAAATCATTTCAACTGCAACTGAGAGACAAAGGAGGAGGAGGAGAGAGAGAAAGAGAAAACAGGGCAAAAAGAGAGGGAGAGAGAAAGAGAACAAGAGAGAGAGAGAGAGAGAGAGAGAGAGAGAGAAAGAGAACAAGAGAGAGAGAGAATGAGAACAAGAGAGAGAGAGAATGAGAACAAGAGAGAGAGAGAATGAGAACAAGAGAGAGAGAATGAGAACAAGAGAGAGAGAATGAGAACAAGAGAGAGAGAATGAATGTGTGTGTGTGTGCGCGCGCGTGTGTGTGTGTTTTTGACAGATTGAGATGCATGTAGATAGATAGACATAGACCAAGAGAGAAAGAGCGCAACACTCACACACACACACACGCACACACACACACATACAGGCACAACTTACAAGCCATCATCAATAATACACTCAAAAACAAAACCACAACCACCAAAACAACATGAGCTGACGACAACCGATTCAGACCCGTCGTGCACGGACCTCGCATGCGACACGTTTCCTACGTGGTCTGTGCACGACGATAGAGCCCGAGCTGAAACCTCGTGAGTTCTTTGTCTTTGTCAATTTCTT